TGCATAACAGTAAATCTTCTATTTTTTGGTGTGAATAAAAATTCATTGTGAATAAAAAATCAAAATGGAATTTATTTGTAAAGCCTCAAAACATAACTAATGAACAGAGGAAATGTTAGTTTAGTGCCAGGAATGCCTACATTGTTCATTCTGGACCCTATTTTGAAATTGGAATATTTTGAACTTTGTGTTAAATTGGCCAAATTAACAATTTCCGATCACTTTATTTTGTAGTTGAAACAGTTGACTTGGCGATTTCTTGTGCTCAATCGATAGAATAGAAGTAATACTAGTGAAATAGCTAAGAATTTGGTTGATTGGAATAATGTAATTGGCCTAAAATGGGAGTCAAAGTCGGCAAAATCGCCGATTCGTAAATATCGCTGACACATCAAAATTCGCGAGAGCATAATTTCGTCAATTTTCCACCAAATTTCGTACTTTTTGTTTTATTACCTTCACAAAAAGATTCTCTACGATTTCATAAGAAAAAATAACAAATTTTTTTTTTTTGAAAATTCTTGGACACTGGTGCGTGACTCCAGATTTGGGCCTTGGACCCTGAAAGGGTTAAGAAGTCTTGAATTGATAAGCAGACAGTGTTTCTTTTATATTCACAGGTAATGAATTCTAGATTTTTGGGCCTTTTATGTGAATTGCGTTTTTACATAGTGTAAGATGGATACGAGGAACATCAAAGAGTGATCTGTTGAGGTTGGTAAGGAGAAGTTTGAGGGGAGGGTTTATATCCGAGTTAAGTGTTCTATGTTTGTAGTAGGTACAGTAATAAGTATGGATGTTTTGTACGGAGAGTAAGTTTAGAGTTTTGAATATTGGTGGAGTGTGCTGTCTGTAGTGGGAATTTGTTATTATGACTGCAGCCTTTTGTTGGGTAATTAATGGTCTGAGATGGTTTATTGTTGTGGAGCCCATGCACAGATTTCATAGGTGAGAGAGGGGTAAATGAGTGAGTGATATAGGGCCAGGAGGGCTGACTGTGGAACATAGTACTGTATCTTCGATAGTATGCCTACGGTCTTGATGTTATGAAGCAGTCTGAAATGAGTAAGATGGCTACTAACATTGCATATACAGTGAAACCTCGGTTTTCATGATTAATCCGTTTGAAAAAGGTCAGCGAAAACTGAATCATACGATAACTGAAGCAATACGTATTTCCCATAAGAAATAATGTAAATCCAATTAATCCATTCCAGACACCCAAAAATATTAACAAAAAATACATTTTATAGAGAATAGCTATAGTTTTACACACAGAAAACAATGAGAAATATAAATGACTAATGAAATGGATAAATGAACATTTAACATCAATTTTACCTCTATTGAAGACTTGTTAACATATGGTAGACGGCGAGGAAGGGAGAGGGAGGAGGAGAGGTCATTGTTTGGAAGGGGAATCCCTGTCCAAAAGGAATTCAGTTATCAAGACCCTATCCGGGGTTACTGCTCTTCTTTGTCTTTTACTGGCACTAGGACCAGCTTGAGAGTCACTGGACCCCTGTTGCACAAGAAATCTGTCCAGAGAGGTCTGTTTCTGGCATCTCTTTAAGATTTGCCTAAAATGGGAAAAGGCATTGTCATTGAACATGTTGCAGACACGGCTTGCAACAGCTTTTTTAGGGTGATAGGTATTTCTCCACAAAACTATGCAAGTCATTCCACTTTGCACACATATCCTTAATCACTGAAGAAGGCATTTTCTCCCCTCTCTCTTCCTCCTCATTTAACCTGTAAATGGTCCAAACGTATATGTATATACGTTTTTTCAAGATTTGAAAGTACGTATGTAAAAAAAAAGTAGATCTTCTTTTTGTTTTTTACATTTGAAAATGTGTAAAAAACTTTGATCTACTTTTTTTTTTGTTATTGAAAATATATAAAAAAATGTAGATCTACTTTCGTAGCACTACACATGTGAACGTAGATCTGCTTGGACCGTTTACGGGTTAAAGCAATTTCCTCAGCTGCAGTCTGTTGCTGTTCCAGTTGAAAGTCTTGCAGCTCTTCAGTGGTTAGCTCTTCCCTGTCATCATCCACCAACTCTTCCACATCCTGGCCACTCGCATCCAACCCCATGGACTTCCCCAAAGACAATAGATTCCACAACAAGCGTAGGGTCATCAGGGTCAGCCTTGAACCTTTCAAAATCACGAACATAGGGGATGCTTTGTGTGGTCGCTCGATTCCAGGAAATGAGTGGCTGAGTCATGCGGGCAGGCGAACGAGTTTAGTATGGACCGTTTTCAACTGTACGAAAACTGAGCGGATGTACAAACACAGGGACAAAATTTTGATGAAAAAAGTCATTGAAAGCCGAATCGTATGAAAACTAGGACATACGAAAACCGAGTTTCCACAGTGTATATGGCATAAACTGGTTGACCAATGCAATTATGAAGGATGAAGATCATATCCATGAAATACATTGGTTTGCTGAGTGAAACAAAAAATCATTTGATATGGGTAGATGACCAGTGCCACAAAGGAGTGCTTCTTAGCACAATGTTGATAGAAAAAAAAAGACAATCCTATTTTTGATGGCTTGGAAGGGAATAATTTGGTGATAGTGTTGGTGATGTACACAGTACCTACATTTAATGCAAGCCATAGTTTAATAGGTTTCATTCAAGAGCAAATTTGCATGATGTTCAAGTGTGTGATGAAGCTGCTAATGCCAGTGTTAAAGCAACTGAGTAATTTGCAAAACTATTTACAGATGTAATTAAAGATAGAATTATGGTTTACGTCAAATATATAATGCACACAAGATTAGTATTTTTTTTAAACACTGCCTGACAAGACATAAATTTCTTAGACAAAAAAGTGTATGCCAGGATATAAAGCAGCAAAAGACAGTTTTTCAGTATTGGTTGGAAGTAATACTGCTGGGGATTTCAAGATTCAATGTCTCCTGATGTATCATTCTGTAAAACCTATTACATTTTAAGGGTTCACCAAATTTTCTCTGCCTGTGGTCTGGATGTCTAGTGACAATGCTTGGGTAATCAAGGCATGTTTTATGCAGTTATTTGATCATCATTTTTTGAAATTTGTTAAACTTGATTTCTCCAGAAAAGAGTTGCCCTCTAAGATTTTACTCATTCTTGGAAATGCCCCAAGACATTCAGTTCACCTAGATGACTGACTTTGATACTGATGTCAAGGTTGTGTTCTTTTCACTAAACACAACCTTTATTTTGCTGCAACCCATGGACCAGGCTCTGATGAAGACATTAGACCTAATGCTCAAGGTATACATATTCCCTGACATTTAAGGCAGAGGACAAAATCCTCGAGGATTTTTGGAAGTGGTATAATGTCGATGATGACTTAATGAATGTTGAGATGATTTAGAGTGAAGTCAAGCAGTTACTCATGATTGTCTTATGGAAAAAATTAACCCTTCGTTTGATGCATGATTTCCGTAGGTTTGAGCAACATAGGAAGGAAGTGGTGGTTAACATGGTAGACAATGCAAATGCACTTCATATTAACTTTGAGGCAGATGTGGACAAGTTGATACTTGCAAAGTGTTTGTCTCTCCAATGAAGATACAGAATTTCAGGAATTAATAGTTGCAGAAAAAGATAGTGAAGACAAACATTTTGAACTTGAACTAGAAAAGTCATTTGATACAAAAATAATGGCCGAGGGATTTTGGGGGATTGAATATGGAATTTAAAAATTTGAGAAAGATCCAAACAAATGAAGATTTGCCAGCATCTCCAAAATAATTAATAATGCTCTTATGCTGAGGGGGAAAAAAATAAAAAGCACATCTGCAGCCTACTATAGATATTTATCTTAAACAACCTGCTATAATTGCACCAAAATCCCAGTTAGCATCAACCTCCAAAACTGCTGCGTCTCCTGAGAAATGACCAGATTCACTCTGCTGATTCCATCACTCTCTTTTAACCCTTTCAGTGAGCAAGATGGGATCAGCATTCACAGTCAGACTGTACACAATGTATTGTTAAAGCATTTATTTATTAAATTTTATCTTATTGTTTAATATGCACATATTGTAGAAAAAAATTTATACTTGAAATTGAAAAAAAAGCCTATAGTGTATACTGAAGGTAAAATATTGGGTAAAAATTCTTGGAGAAAAACATTAATAAATTAGACAAAAAACTGGAGCTCAGGTATATATTAATCCATTTTACACTGGTTCTTGTTGGGAAAATGGATTCTGAGTACTGAACATTCAATGTACAATGAATTTTCTTTAATGCATTAATGTTGTAAGTTGGGAACTACTGTACAAGGTCATTAAAAAATGAAAAATAGGCAAAAAGGAATTCTTAGTACTGTACTGTGGCTACCACAGGGATAACAAGAGTCCACAGTTGTAAATCTGAGGAAAAAGTAGAACCTATGAGATACTAGATTTTTTTTTTTTTTCAGACTGAGTAACCTATGAAATTATATAAAAGAGGAGGTAACAAGTGCTAGAGCATTGGAAATTTAAAATAACTATATGTTGGAGAAATTATTGATGATGGTACACCATGAGCATATCTCTGCTTCTCTAGTTTCAAATTAATACTGAGACTACAAACACACACGAATGCATGCTTGTTCACATGCACATGAACACCTATATACATGTGCAGGTACTCCTCACTTAACGACCTACTTGTTTAATAACCTCTCAGACTTACAACCAGCTCTCCGACCAGTGTACTGTATGTGTATTTTACTCTTTTATTGTTTCTTAATGCCTAGTTATATTCATAATATGCTAAAAATGTTTTAAATGGTACAAAGGTGACACTAAAATAATATCTAAAGATGGTCGACACAAACCCACTACCAGTACAGTATGCTTGAAATATCAGTAAGGGGCAGTGCCTTGCTGAACAACCAATTCACTTGCCAACCTACTCTTAGGAATGAAACTCAGTCATTAAGTGAGGGGGTACCTGTATTAGTATTATATTATTAGCTCATCTATTTTTTGCCTTCCGCAGACCTGTTTCAGCGTATGCTTTGTTCTTCCGGGACACACAGGCTGCCATTAAAGGATCCAATCCCAATGCATCCTTTGGGGAAGTCTCCAAAATTGTTGCTTCCATGTGGGATTCTCTGGATGCTGACCACAAGAATGTGTACAAGAAAAAAACTGAAGCAGCAAAAAAGGAGTATCTTAAAGCTCTTGCTGCCTACCGTGCCAGTTTGGTATCAAAGGTAAGAGTGAAACACATTTAATGGTTTGGGCTTTTTTATATTTTTAATGGCTGATTCTCAAACCTGACTAACACAAATGCAGTAATCCCTGCCACAACCGAACAATTTTGGGTGAGCCTATGTTTTGACATTTTTTCACAAATTTTTTTAGAAAATAGTACAGTACGTACATGAACTTAATGTAGAATATTAATCATTGTTGCATCTTGAAAGAGAAAATTTTAAACATCATGAGAGGTACATACCCAGTAGTAAAATCAAGATATTTTTTAGAATTAAATTATTGATAATATGTATTGTATATGGGAAAATACTTGTGTACAGTATTTCAAATAAATCAGCTGTACAATACTTCAGCCAGTGTGGCTGAAGTTACATCTTTGTCTTGATTGTTCGGCTGTGAGGCTTCACTTACACTGTATTGTTTTCATCATGTTAGCTAAAGCTTGTAACAATGTTAATGTTGCATTTGGCATAGTGAAAGTATATTTTAAGCTAGCAGTTTCTTAGGTCTTTAATCATGCAATATGCTGGCTAAACTAAGCTGTTACTTGACTGACAGAATGTAACTGCATGGCAGCCTGCTTATGGCATATTAACCAATATAACCATTGCTTTGTACCAGTGTTTCTTGTGACAAGCTTGTCACTGGTACTTGCGTGAGGCGTGACCCCTGGCTTATGTTACAGGGCGGTGAAGGTGAGGGAGTTTACGGGGGACCTGGGTATGGTCAGTTTGCCCCGGGGTTTGGATACCCTCCTACCACTAGCGCCCCTGGACATCCCCAAGTACAGTCGCCCACACAGATGTCACCATTGGCTAAGAAGTCTCCTCTACTCTCTTCTCTTATGGCCGATCCATCCCCACCTATGATGAACCCACCAATGTCACAGCCCATGCCACCTTCTGGCCCTCCCATGATGCCTCATGGTTCCATGCCACCTATGTCAGCAGCCAGTTTGGCACCCCAGGCACAGCAAGGCCCTCAGGCTGGTCACCAGCAACCCACACCACAACCACATCTGACGCCCTTGACCAACGTACCTTCTACCTCCCCCTACATGAACCAGGTATAGCTCATCCCTGCCCACTCAGCCTGCTGTTATGCTGCTTCAGCTGTTCTAACTTGCTAGATAAAAGAGTACTGTATACGGTATATATTTTGCATGAGTAGGGAGAGTAACAATTATGACTAACCAAAAACTGGTATTGTGAACAATACAAGGTGACCTGAAATTAAAGCTACAGATCATTTAAAGATTATTTTTCTTTACAGTGATTTTTTTTTTATTATTTAGCAGGCACCAGGGTCTCTGTCGAGTCCTGGAGGTGGTGGCTCTCCGGGTAGTGGACAGCAGCACCAGACACAGCAGCAAAGCCCACAGCAGCAGCAGCAACAGGCTGCCACACAGCAACAGCAACAGCAAGCAGGACAGCAGCAACACCAGCAGGGTGGACAGCATGGCCAACAACAGCAGCCTCCACAACAACAGCCACCACAGCAGCAGCAACAGCAGCAGCAACAACAACAACAAAGCGGGCAGGGTTCAGGCGGTCAGCAGCAGGGTATGGGACAGCCAGGACATATAGGGTGTCCAAGCTCTGGACCAAATTGCATCAGGTCTGGATGCACCAACCCTGCTGTGCACAACCCAGAATGGGAGGATGAATACTGCTCCAACGAGTGTGTCGTCTCGCACTGCAGGTAATATATTGCCATCTTTTCTCATTTGATAATTAAGATATTTGTTCTGTATACAGTAAGCCCTCTTTTTAACGGACTCCAAAATTGCGAGACAAAATCTGTTGGGTGAATAGATTTGGAAAATATGAACAAAGTCCATCAGTTACAGAATTATTCATTATTGTTACAGCCACAACAAAAGTCTCTTCTCCATCCATCACAATTGCCATTACTGGTTACCTGCTTCCCCATTTAGTCCATTATTTAGAGGGTTTATTGTACCAGTTAGGTTAGGTGTTGTTTTTCAAGTCATTCTGTAGATTCACTTAGTGGAAATCTGCATCTAGCTTCAGTCAGATATAGAGAAATGCTTGAAATATATGCATAATTTTGTAAATTATGGGGGTCCTAGATAAAATACTGTATAAAGTATATGAAACTCTTAAGCAAAAAATTAACTTCAAATAAAACATGGCTCAATAATTAGACCAATTTGTTTTGAGCTCTCAACAGAGTTTGCAAAAAAAAAAAAAAAAAGTTAAAAAACAAACTGGTTTAATTCTATCTGCCAGTGGGTTCTAAGATCATCGCCCTCACGACCTGGTCTTGGACCAGGGTTCCTAAATTGAAAAGGAAATATTACAAGAACAAAAATTGATTTAGAAACATCTAGGTAAGTAAATATATTGAATCCACCTGCCATCTTACACACTCAAGAGACTGAAAAAAAAAACAGCAGTCCATCTTGAGTCCAGAACATATAATAGATTTCCATAACATTCATATGACAGGATGGTTGTACCTCCTTGTGTAGTTGTTCTCTGAGCCTAATGTTACTGAATCTTTTACCAAATAGAAAACCTTATATCACAACTGATTTTTAGCTAAGTGTCAGTGCAGTGTTCTTCTTCTCTCTTTCAGTTAGGGTACCTTTTTTTTTTTTTTTTTTTTTTTGTTTGAGGTTCTTGAAGTGGGGAGTTAGGTCTACCTCCTCCCTCAGATCAACCCTAATTGTCTTCCATTCCTCAGCCACTGAATAACCCTTGCTGGAGCAGTGGTTTCCCATGAATTTAACAATTGTAATTGTAATTGAGGCATTACGTAGAATGAAAGGGGGTAAAGCAACTGGAACTGATGGGATCATGACAGAAATGTTAAAAGCAGGGGGGTATTTAGTGTTGGAGTGGTTGGTACTTTTGTTTAATAAATGTATGAAAGAGGGGAAGGTACCTAGGGATTGGCGGAGAGCATGTAGAGGAATAAGTTTACCGAGTATACCAGGAAAAGTATACGGTAGGGTTATAATTGAAAGAATTAGAGGTAAGACAGAATGTAGGATTGCGGATGAGCAGGGAGGCTTCAGAGTGGGTAGGGGATGTGTAGATCAAGTGTTTACATTGAAGCATATACGTGAACAGTATTTAGATAAAGGTAGGGAAGTTTTTATTGCATTTATGGATTTAGAAAAGGCATATGATAGAGTGGATAGAGGAGCAATGTGGCAGATGCTGCAAGTATATGGAATAGGTGGTAAGTTACTAAATGCTGTAAAGAGCTTTTATGAGGATAGTGAGGCTCAGGTTAGGGTATGTAGAAGAGAGGGAGAATATTTCCCGGTAAAAGTAGGTCTTAGACAGGGATGTGTAATGTCACCATGGTTGTTTAATATATTTATAGATGGGGTTGTAAAAGAAGTAAATGCTAGGGTGTTCGGGAGAGGGGTGGGATTAAATTATGGGGAATCAAATTCAAAATGGGAACTGACACAGTTACTTTTTGCTGATGATACTGTGCTTATGGGAGATTCTAAAGAAAAATTGCAAAGGTTAGTGGATGAGTTTGAGAATGTGTGTGTAAAGGTAGAAAGTTGAAAGTGAACATAGAAAAGAGTAAGGTGATGAGGGTATCAAATGATTTAGATAAAGAAAAATTGGATATCAAATTGGGGAGGAGGAGTATGGAATAAGTGAATGTTTTCAGATACTTGGGAGTTGACGTGTCGGCGGATGGGTTTATGAAGGATGAGGTTAATCATAGAATTGATGAGGGAAAAAAGGTGAGTGGTGTGTTGAGGTATATGTGGAGTCAAAAAACGTTATCTATGGAGGCAAAGAAGGGAATGTATGAAAGTATAGTAGTACCAACACTCTTATATGGATGTGAAGCTTGGGTGGTAAATGCAGCAGCGAGGAGACGGTTGGAGGCAGTGGAGATGTCCTGTCTAAGGGCAATGTGTGGTGTAAATATTATGCAGAAAATTCGGAGTGTGGAAATTAGGAGAAGGTGTGGAGTTAATAAAAGCATTAGTCAGAGGGCAGAAGAGGGGTTGTTGAGGTGGTTTGGTTATTTAGAGAGAATGGATCAAAGTAGAATGACATGGAAAGCATATAAATCTATAGGGGAAGGAAGGAGGGGTAGGGGTCGTCCTTGAAGGGTTGGAAAGAGGGGGTAAAGGAGGTTTTGTGGGCAAGGGGCTTGGACTTCCAGCAAGCGTGCATGAGCGTGTTAGATAGGAGTGAATGGAGACGAATGATACTTGGGACCTGACTATCTGTTGGAGTGTGAGCAGGGTAATATTTAGTGAAGGGATTCAGGGAAACCGGTTATTTTCATATAGTCGGACTTGAGTCCTGGAAATGGGAAGTACAATGCCTGCACTTTAAAGGAGGGGTTTGGGATATTGGCAGTTTGGAGGGATATATTGTGTATCTTTATACGTATATCCTTCTAAACTGTTGTATTCTGAGCACCTCTGCAAAAGCAGTGATAATGTGTGTGTGGTGAAAGTGTTGAATGATGATGAAAGTATTTTCTTTTTGGGGATTTTCTTTCTTTTTTGGGTCACCCTGCCTCGGTGGGAGACGGCCGACTTGTTGAAAAAAAAAAAATATATACATTGTGTCATTTTGTGCACATCACTTACAGCCAGTTGCTGGTAAACTACTACTAGGTTAAAACTGGAAATATGCATGTTCAAAACAAATATAGCCTATAGTGACCTAGCCAGCCTACCAATGAGGCAGTGAAATGGTGCAAAGTTTGAAATCTCCTGAGCCTATTATATTTATGTATTAGATTTTATTGCAAAAGCAACCACTCTAGTTTATTGTGCATCCTATGTCCATCCTGTGGACAATATTGCAAAAGCTTATAGATAAAAATTCTAGAACCTAGGCCCAAAGGGTTAAAAGGGGTACATCTGGGTATGTATATTTCATCTCTTGAAAGGAATTTTAAGATATTTACTTAGAATATCTGGTATCTTCTTTTCACTAATATAATATCTCGACATACGTAGATTATTGCACTGTTTATTTCTGTATTCCTTAGAGAGGAGAATCAGACAGTGTTTCGGTAAGTGACCAGATGACTGACACCATATTTTGCATTTAGCTTGAAGTACAAGTACCCAAGCCTGAACCTGGCTACTACATCAGTCAGTTTTTTACATTGCAAATTGCTCTATGAATGTGCTTATCTACGTATATGTTAAAAGTTATGCATATATGGTACTCAGGCTTCTAATGCATTCTGATGACATTTGGATTCATTATTTTTTTTTCCCCAATACTGTGTCTAATGCATGACAGACAGACCAAAGTTATACTCAACTTCTTCCTTCAAAGTTCAGCACAGTGGTTCCTTGAGTTATGATTATTTTGAGCTACAATCTGCCCTCATAAAGGAATTTAGTTTTGAGTTACAATGAAAAATTTGAGATACGATACACATTTGTGATTTAATTATGCCATCCTTTGTGTTACCGAGTCATCATGGCCCCTAAAATGCACAGTAAACAGGCAATTTCTCTGAATATCAAACAAGAAATTGTGAAAAAAATCATGATTCAGGAGTTAGATATAGTGCATTGATGTGTGAGTATGGCTTTTCATAATCAGCCATTTCTACCATTATCAAGTAAAAAGACATTATAAAAGATACTAAAGTGGCTGATGAATCTCCTAGTGAAAAAAAGGCAGAGAAATTATCAAAGAGATGGAAAAACTGCTGTTATTATGGCTAAGAAGCAGATGAAGGAAAAGTTGCACTTATGGGGTCTTGGAACAAATTACCATGAAAACTTGTATTTTGAGGTTTGAGTTACAATGGTTTTGAGGTACAATACGTCTTCTGGAGTGGATTGATATCTTAACTCAAGGGGTCACTACTGTTTTGGGCTAATTTATCAGATTTATCATGTAGGAATAATTTAATGAGAAATTGAATCCATAAAAATTTTACATTAATTCCTTCCTTTTCGATTTTTTAACATTTGCATCTGGCTTCTCCATTGAGCATGTTTTTACTGCATTCACTGATAATGTAGAATCAGTAAGGATTCAAGAGTCATGTTTGCTGTCAATGGTTTGTCAATAGGATAGCAAACCATTTATGGCAAAGGATGGCAAACCATTGTTTGTGATGTTAATTCTTGTGCCTAACTCAGCATGGTTGCTATAATTCTTATCTGTAAAAGTGACAACAAGAGCAGATGCAGACCTGCATATCTTCTTACAGTTAGGAGATAAATTAATTTTTAAAGGGCACATCAGTTCCCCTATTTTCTAATACAGCCTCTCCTCTCTTAGCGACATACTCGTTTACCGATGACTTGGATTTAAGATGGGCTCTGATCAGTATGCATACCTAAATAATGTATATTAGCTGATTTCCTCTATTCTGTTTACTACAATAGATAGTACATTACTGTATAAACATTTAAAAATATACCAGAAATGTTATAAATGGTGCAGAGGTGACACTAAAACAAAATGAAAGATGGTTTACACAAACTCACTACCATTACAGTATACTCCTCACTTAGCGACGAATTCATTTACCGATGTGGTCTTAGAAATGGAACTCTGTCATTAAGTGAGGAGGGGCTGTAATATGTTATTTCCCCCCTACAATCAGCCTTGCCCATAATTACTATTGCATTTGCCTTGTCTGCTTTCGTAAGGTGAAGTCTAGGATCTTTCCTGAGCTTTGCTCAGACCTCTGCAACACAATTGTCCTCA